GCGTTATCTAATTCAAGCTTAACGTCGCAATCTGGAAAACATACACCCACCATACATAACAATACATATACAAAGCATTTACATACATGTGAAAACCATTTTTCTCGGTATGCTTTTCAGCATAATTAAAAAATGTCTTCTTTCCAGATGGACTTGACAGAGAGAGAGCACAGAGGAGACACTGAGGTCTGCACGTTGCCCTGCCTGGGGTCTTGCTCCCTCACTGAAGCAAGCACTGGACACTGCATGTTCTGGCCGCTCTTGTCTGTGTTTGGGATTTTGGCATGAAGTTCAGGTTTGCAAAACTATTTAGGTGTTGGGGACTCAGATTTGTGGTCTTGAATCTGTTCCAGTGGAGGACTACAGGAATAAGGCAGTAAATTACAAGTGGAGCTTATTGGAATTAGGTGTTTGAATTATTTAGGTGCAGTGAGACTATGAATAGTCATTCTGGTTGATTTAAAAATGCTGATTTTAATGACAGAAAGCTCTGTAAAACTGCAGATGAGTAGCTGATCACCCAAGATGAATGGCTTAGCTCAGAACTGAGGATGTGCCCAGATGATATGCCCTGTCATGGAGTGCTGTGGTCTCTGCCTACTCTGCTACAGTGATCGAATCCTTTCCATGTTTATGTTTGCTCATCAGATGGGCCTTCTTGCTCATTTTATATCTATGAGTCCATCCCTGTTCAAATAAAAGGCATATATCGGAGATGTTTGACTTGTTTTGCATGGGAGCCAGCGATAAGAATAGCAAACATAATGCAGCAGAGCAGGCAAAGACTGCTATCTGACCACGTGTCCAGAACTGCAGACCTTTAGTTTAGAAATATACTGAGAATTACAGTCATTTTAAAAATAAGCTGCTGTCCAGTGGAAAAAAAATAACAGCTAAGCTGCATGTCTGTAGGCACAGGACTGGAAATAGGAGATGGCAACACCTTTTTCAGCATTATCTCACCTCCAGCCGCAGACAGATGAGAACAGAAGTAGCGTTCTTTTTGCTGGTTCCATCCTCTTTGGCAGATGGCTATTTTTCAGTTGGAGGAAGAAAAAACCCTGCTCTTTGGCTGCCCTCCTTCATATTACCATTAGATGGATAAAAAGCCAAAGCAAAACAAAGACCAAAACCACCTCCAAAACAGAACTGCGGTTACTAGCAGCAGTTGTGATCCTGGCGTGTGGACATCTCGAGGTCTGGTGTACAGCTGCGGCCCATTCACACAGACAAAAACGTTGGTCTTTAAAACAAAGAAGAAACAGCAGTAAATAAAGCCGAGGGACAGAAAATTAGAGGGTTACTAACAGACTTTGTTTTTTGAGAGAGCTCTTTGACAAGGACTGACTTTCCAAAAGTGCTCTGGCAGTTGTTCTTATGATGGGATACCAAATTTCTTACTCAAAAGTCTCCTGCAATTTTAGTACATTTTGGTCCACATAGGTGTAACTTTTAGTAGGAACATGAATGCCCGTGTAATATGAATATCTTTCTTTTCCATTTCTGAATGCTTTCCACTCTCCTGCAATCCCCTTCAAGCGCAAACCACCTGAACGTCGAGGTGAGTAGCTGGGGGTTTTCTGATACAGGAGGCGTTCTTGTAAAATTCCTGGCTCAGAAGTTGCTGAAGAACTACGGCGTACCACGGCATCTCTTCATCCGTACCAATGATGCTGTGTCCCACGTAAGAAAGCACAGAGCACAAAATGCAGCCTGGCCGTAAGCAAGCAGAAGTTGGTTAAACAGGTATCCCTGGAAGCGTTTCTCCGGTGGGAGTCTGAGAATGAGGTCAGCCACTTTGTGTCTACTCTTTCACTTTGCACAGCGTGGTCTGATGGAATATTTAAAAGTGATGCATCCTATTTTCCCAGGTCAATTACTCGTGGAATTAACTGTCCTTTGTCCCCCCCATCTGTAATAACACTAGTTACCGTCTGTAACTTCAGACATAAATGTGTGTGAAAATGCATTTGTCTTAAAATGCAATTGAGATGTTCCTTTCTGAACTACCAGGACAACTTGGTTGAAAGTGTGCTCAGTGCAGTATAGAAGAACTGAACAACAGGAAGCTCAGTATAATATTTAATATTGTTAAGCAAACATCAACACTGGAGTTTAGATCTCTCAGCAGTTATATGAAATGTTGGCATGAAGTACAGGACAGACAACATGAGATATCTAGAAATAAACATGGACCCTGTATTACAAACTTACATATTAACTCTAGGGGACCAGCAGCGTTCTTGCTAACGCTGCACAATGCTGCAGGGGAAAATTCCAGATAGCTTTCAGGATGCAACAGGACATATCGAGACTTTTTCTTGTGCTAAATTTCAATGCAACAGAAAATACTTTGCCCTCCCAGTCCTTAGCTGTCCTTTTCTGAAGACTGCTCTGATTCGGCCTGAGAGCATTTCGAGAGCTGTCCTAAGGCATGATTTGCCATTACCACATTTTTTCACCACTATGACTTGGGGCAAAATGTTCCAGTCTGGTTGGCTTTTACAGTCGCTTTATGGTTATCAATGAGACACCTAAACGTGTGTTTATCTCTCACTGAATGCTCTGTTAAGATTTGGAAGGAGACAGAGGTTCAAGACGCAGGTAGATCATGCGGATGTTTGTAGGGAAGTTGTATTCCGTTGCTACAGTGGCTTTCATTGGGTCAGAAGGTACTTGTCAGATTGCTGAGTTAGCTCCTTGCATTCAATTTATCTGAGATCTTGGGAAAAGTCTTGTTAAGCCCCTGGATCCACCATTCCGCCTCTCACCGTTTATATCACTGCAAAAGGTGTGCAGAAGTTTCCAGAGTCGGGATGCCGATATATCCAAATGGCAGTGATTTAAGGGACTCTCCCAGAAAATGCTAGGTAGTCGTCAGCTGTTCTGAAAGTTATGGGTTAATCAAAAAGATCCACATTTTAGTGATGGGTTCTTTTTGACAGGGGGATTTGGTCAGTAAAACCAGTTACAGACCGAAGTGTTTAACCAGCTCTTTCCTGGGATTTTGTTAGGGTAAAGCAGCACAGGTCTGAAAGGTCCAGATTGTTCATCAGAATTCCCATCATCCTCCAGAAAGCTAGGATTTTGCTACAACCACCTGAAAATAATCCCTATTGCTCACATTACGACAAAACCAGGGGGCTTTTCTGCAAATTTGGCTTTCCCCTGCCATCCTTCATGTAAGAGTTATCCAGATAACTTTAATTCCCAAAATGGAGCCTTGCTCCTTTAAACCACTAACAAGTCTGCTGGTTTTCACCTCCACAGATACCAGGAGCAGGCTTGGGAAAATGCAAAACTTTTTTGCAAAAGCAGCAGCTAGTACAAATGTCATTGTGTCAACCTATTCTGTAACCTCATCGAAGTTTTATGTGGTTATTCATGGAGAACAGAATGGTCTTTCTAAAAGACAAGATGCATTGCTTTGACATTTTTCTAAATGAAAACTGCCTGCAAATATTTTATGCTTAGACATGTCATTTGATTTGTTTAAGACATGTTTAAATACTCAAGTTCAGAAACAGTGAAGTCTTTTTTTAATATATTTTGTCAAATTTCCAGAAAACTGAACATTGAATTGTTCATGCTACTCCCAATAGGAATAATACAGAGTTGTGGTAAAACAGCCCACTTGAGAAAAAAATCAGAGTAGAAGAGGGAACCTTAAGGACTAAGGAAGTTTTAGAAGACCTCGCTCTAAGCTATACCGGGTAGGTACTTGCTACTGAAAGCAGTGAGTTGGGAGGCAGAGCACGACCTCCAGCAATGCACTGAGAATAGCTGTGTGGGTTGACATCCAGCCACTGGAGAGAGAAATTCGTTAGAAGCAGACCACAGCATTTCCCTCAGTGGAACCGCATCGCTTTGCGTTCAGTAAGGATCCAACCTTGTAACTGTCATTTTTTTTGAAGCCTCCCACTGAGCGTTCTGGAAAAATTTCAATTTTATTCCGTGTCCTGGGGCTCTGTGCAAACTTCACCATTCTTCCTGTGTCTGATCCCCTAAGTTACCAACTAATCAATAGAAAACTTTCAAAGAGGAGAGCGGTGCTTAATTAAGAGATTGCTCTTGGGAGGATGCCAGCGCAAATGAGGAATTGCAAAAATTATGAAATGACAGCTCTTGCAAATGCTGAGACATGTCTTTGGCAGTTTTCTGGATGCTGGTGAACAGCAGTACCCACAGGTACGAGGGTAGGAACAGGGCCTGACAAATCAGGTGCTCAAACCAGCCCTTTGGCCCTTTGAGCAGCCTTCCTCTTGGGCATCACGCTAAGTGTGCGTCCCAAAATCTGGAGTGAGATGCAGTCTTATACCATTCCAGCTTACTGACACGGATCCGTTGCCTGCATGAATTTGCTCCACTCTGGAGCTATGAATATTGCGAGATTCAGACTCCCTGGGACCCGTTCCACACTTTCACCTTCTGTTTCTTGAAGAATTCAGAAGCCAGTTGAAATTGGAGACGCTGTTTACCTGTATCTTGGTGCTCATTGCTGTGTTTTGCCAATCTGTATTCTTTATACCAAAATCTAGGTGAGCCATCTCATCTTTGTACAGTGATTTAACATTAAAATTCCCTAACTACAAACAAGTATGCGGACTGAGTCCTGGCTGGGTGAATTATTACTGTACAATACCAACCTGCTCTGCTTTTGGACAAATACTAGCAAGAAAAAAAAAAAAGGGCATGCCTATAGGATTAGACTTCATGACTTTTTTGTCTGGTGCCTTGAACTCCTTGTTTGTCATTTGATAAGGAAATTTACGCAAAACTTTATCTGTTTGGGTGCTGGAAGGTTCAACCTTCTCAGGACAAAAAGGCCCACAGTAACACATAATAAACAAATAATATCAAATTCATTTTTGGCAAGGACAGTCCCAGTTTTGTAATCTTCTTCAGACCAAATGGAAATCTACAGATGCCAGCTCTATGGTTAATATTTTACAGACACAGGTAGTGAAGGGTATATAAGCAGATGCTTTCCCTTCAATCTTCCTAGCATTTCTGAGTAATTTAGCCCACATCATAATCTGCAACCATGAAGTGGGTGACATTAATTTCATTCATTTTCCTCTTTACTTCTGCTGCATCCAGGAATCTGCAAAGAGTTGCTCGAGATGCAGGTAAGAAAGGACTAATTTGTTGTCTTTGCAGTCTTTGTTATATCAATTTAATGACTTTAATGCAATTTCACAAGCAATTCTTGCAAGCCTGATCCAAAGAGAACAGAAAAATGTGGTTGATTTGAAAAGAACCTAAATGAAGAAATGGTGAGGAGATGGGTAGGACACTCCACTGAAGTGGGCGAGTAAGTTTGGTGACATCCCTTTGCCACACCAGTGTAGGGTACGAGCGGATGCTGATTACTCAGAATCTGTTCCTTTCCAGCATGGGGAAAGCAGATGCACTGTGCTTTTGGAAGTGCTGCCTTTTGAATGGCAGTTCATAAGCAAGCTCCTCACCAATCAAAGGCAATGGTTTTCACACAAGTGGGTCAAAAATCTGCATTTCAGACTGGGCTATGAGAAGGCTAGCTGAAAACTCCTCATTATGTCATTTCTCCCTCTATTATAAAACTTTAGACCTTGGTCAAACAAATATTTCTGCACGCAGTCCTAGAAATTTTTTCACTGGTATTTTTGATGATGAAAATACCCAAATTTAACAAAACTGAGTTTTCCAGAGCTGGCTGGAAATGCCAGGGAACAGCAGCAAAAAATCTTTTAATTACAATTTTCTGCATTGAAACCCTTATTATCAAAGCAGGTATACTCCATTAGCTAAAGAAATTACTCTTCGTGTTTTCCGAATGCTCCTGAATGCTGTTTCTAGAACGAGTGCCCCATTCTGGCTCGTTCGTTAGTGTGGCCATATGCCTCAGTATCTGTCAGGAAAATCTTGTGGGAGTCTTCTTGCGAAGAGCGAGGTATAACGACAACCTGTATTTGTTACCATCAGGACCAAGCGAAGGGATTTATCTGCTTTCCTGCTCATGAAGGGCACAGAGGATATGCACTGGGTGGAACAAGAATATGAACATGCCAAGTTAATAACTTTGTGTTCAGAAAGAGAAAATTCTCCTAATGCTTGCTCTAATCAAACTGCAGCTGCATTCCTTTATTTGTAGCGTAGACATGATCACGTTGTTGGTTACACAAAGGACATGTTTGCTAATCCTTAGTAGTCATTTTGAATATTTGCATTAAGTATGTGCTTACAGAGGTAAATATTGTATTAGAATCCTGAAAACCACAAGCCTAGGTTCCTCCAGAACAACAAGGATGCATAAGAGTTAGGTATCTGCAGACACATGGACAGGAATGGTCATCTGAGACAGCAAAGAGTTCAAGGTGACCTGCAGAAAGCTTTAGATGGAAGCTGCTAGAAAAGCAGTGCAGATTACCCAGGATGGTGTACCTGAAGGGGGGATTTTACAAGTGCCCAGCGTTAGCTAGGTCTGCTTCAAAACAATGATACTACTCCCTCCCGTGTGAGAGCGGGGGGAGTGCTGAGTGCTCCTGAAAGCCTGGCCCAGGGTGCGCAGGATGCACTCTTTCAGGGGTCTGGCACAGCCAGCGCGACAGCGAGCATCATTGTTCTCTTTGGTTTTCCTTCCAGAGCACAAGAGTGAAATTGCCCATCGCTTCAATGATTTGAAGGAAGAGACATTTAAGGCAGCGTAAGTGAATGTTCAGCTTACATTTTTCTGATTGTTTTCCACCTCTGCTGATATTGGACTAAAAAGGGAAACTGAAACACATGGTATGAGCTAGTGAACAGCCTATGTGTCTCTGAAGCACGGCATTGAGTTACCCTTCTTACTGGTAGTATACAAAACCTATAAATATTTTAAGATCTCAAAAGACATGATGACTTTCTTGCTCTCAGGGATAAGAACTCCCTGCAAACCTCATGAGAAAGACTGTATTGCTTACGTGAAAAGATAATAAGAGTGAGTAATACAGTTTGATAACCTGAGGATGGAGAGGAGTTACGATGGATTGAGACATTACCAAAAAAAAAAAACCACCAACCTCAAAAAACAAACCTACAATAGGTTTTCTAAAACAATTAAATTATTTTCTTTTGAAACTGGTTTTGGGAATGCAGAAGGACCTGACTGGAACGTAACTACTTCTGAAAGAAGGAAAAAGCAGCAGGAAACCCAAATCAGTCTTTCTGGTTTGTTTCTAATCTATTATTCAAGATTTTTTTCTTGTGAAGTAAGGTTTAAAACATTTTTCAGAAAGGAGGTGAGAAGAGGAAGGAGATGGGATCCGGTACTATGCTCTTTGTGGTACTGCCTTTAAGCATTTATACAATGTGATTTGAACAAAAAATTTTGAAAGCACCTTCAAAAATATTGACTGTTACGTTTCTTATCTCCGTATTCCAAAATGTGCTTTGTGTTTTAGCACCATGATCACATTTGCCCAGTATCTCCAGAGATGTTCTTACGAGGGCCTGTCTAAGCTGGTGAAGGATGTTGTTGACCTGGCGCACAAGTGCGTGGCCAATGAGGACGCTCCTGAGTGCTCAAAATCACTGGTAGGCAGTGGATCCTTTGGTGCTCTGTTTCTCCTCATTCTATGAAGCTACGAGAATCATCCCCGTTGAGGATTTACACCTGATCCTTTCAGGTGTTGCTGTTGTCATCAGCCAACGCTCAGGTTTTCGTGCTGAAACAAAGAACTTGCTTTTGTCAGGTTCTGAAACTCTGCCTTTCAGAAGCGCCCAAATGGTCTGTGGAGCCATGTGTTGGAGCACAGACACCACGCTTTGGCACATTAAGTTTGGCACTGCCTGGAAACGAGCGTTAGCCTTTAGTACAATACCCGAGCTGTAAAATACAGATCTAATTCTAGGTATTAAAGTGACCAGAGCTTTTCACACTAGGATGACTTGAAAAGGTATGCGTGCTAATTTAAGGAGTTTTCAAAAAACTCCTTGAAGACCAGGTAACGAAAGAAGTTTGCAGATACATAAGATGCCTGGATGTCTAGCAGGTTCAGCCCGGCCCTTCAGAAAATGAGGTGCTTGTGCTCTTGCGAGCTCTAACGCTCAGACCAAGTGACACGACTACATTAGTTCTGCCGAAAGGTTTCCCAAGCTGAGCATCAAGCAGAATATCAAATCCTGCTTCAATTCATCACTTTGGTCAGATTATAAGTAAAGGGAGATCACCATCTTGCACAGAGTATTTTTTTTTTTTATAAAACAGTGCAACAGTTTTGCTACTGGACCAGATAAAATAGAACTTTATGAAATTGTGTTGAAAACAATGGATTATTCCGACTTGTGGTCTAAATCTTATCCAGCAAAAGTGTATTTACTTTTCAGTTTGGGTTTTCTTTTACAGTTAAATAGAATGTACATTACACTGTCTATAAACAATAATTCTGACCCTCAGCATCTCCCTTACAGCCCTCCATTTTCCTGGATGAAATCTGCCACATCGAAAAGCTCCGCGACTCCTATGGCGACATGGCTGACTGCTGCAGTAAAGCTGATCCTGAAAGAAATGAGTGCTTCCTGTCATTTAAAACTCACCATCCAGACTTCATTCAGCCATACCAAAGACCAGCTAACGATGTGATATGCAAGGAGTACCAGGACAACCGGATGTCACTCTTGGGACAGTAAGAAAAATGGCCATTTTGTACTGATTAAGTGTTTAGTCGTGCAGAAGAGGGACCCCCGAGCTACACAGAGTGTGTGAACGGGCTGGACATTTGAAAAAGTTGCAAGTATTCAACCTCATATCCTAGAATCACAGAATGCTTTGGGGTTGGAAGGGACCTTTAAAGCCATCTAGTCTATCCCCTCCCTGCAGTGAGCAGGGACATCTTTAACCAGACCAGGCTGCTCAGAGCCCCGGCCAACCTGGCCTGGGATGTTCCCAGGGATGGGGCATCGACCACCTCTATGGGCAAGCACGCATAAAACAGTTGCTCAGTCATTAAATATCCAAAGCTCCGATCGCGTTTTTTCATTCCATGCTAGAGCAAGTTTTTCCATTCAAAAATGGGTTTTAAGGGATCCCATTTTATAAGTCTTGAGGGACTTTTTGCCCCAAAAAAACTGAAAAAACACAGTGTTTCCAATGTTGATTTAATAATTTACTTGCTCTGACTTCCCATTACCCCCTTTGTAATTGGAAAGGATGAAGAAAGATAACAGTGAAAAGAATAAAAACTGGCAGTACAATCTTGGTGAAATAGCCATTGATTATTTTCTCACACTCAAAATCAGCATTTTCAAGTATTTAACAATGCATTTTAAAAAAGCAGATGTACATCAAACTGAGTGGCTGACAATATCAGAGTTTGCCCTTCCATCATTGCTGTCGAGTCCTGCTTTGGAAACAGCGAGATTTAGCAGAGCCTTTACCATCAGTAGGCTTTACGTTAGGAAAGTAGATTACATTTCTAAACTAGAAAACAAAGTCACAGAAGCTGTAACAGATTTAAGGCCATTTGCTGTTGTGGTTGGAACATATAACTTCTGCTTTCCTTTTCCTTACAGTTTCATCTATGCTGTTGCAAGAAGAAACCCCTTCTTGTATGCCCCAACCATCCTCAGTCTGGCTGCTGATTACGAGCATTCGCTTCAGAGCTGTTGCAAAGAGAGTGATGTTGGCACTTGCTTGGATGAAAAGGTAGATCGCATTTTTCACTGTGGATGAAAACTAAGCAACCAGTCTGCTACAGAAAGGTCTCTTCTGATGTTAGCAGCAATTCTCTTTAAAGTGAGAAGTGACTTTGACTCTAAGAGGCTAATGTTCAATTACGGTTTATCATTCCAGAATTGTGCTTTCCCATGGTGGTTTTCAGTAAACATTTCTATACAGCTTCATAGAAGCTAAGATGGTAAAAAAACCTCACATTATGGTTTTCTTAAGTGAAAAAACCCCAAAAGAATCAAACTGCAGATAATTAGGCTTCTCTTTTTGTCCCTTTGCTAATACATTATCAGGCAGCTCTGAACATTGTGCAGATGCACTGAATCCAAATACCTTGTAGCACTTGGGATTTGTCATCTGTGGTAACCCATAGTGAGAAGGCACTCTACCGAAGAGGCGCTGGGGAAGGACAGATCTCTCTTGGCAGCCTCACCTGCCATGGCCACATCCAACGTGTAGGTGCTTGGGAGGCCTCTCCTGTTCTTCCCCTATTCATTGCCCAAGCAAACAGAGGAGAAGTGAGAAATGGGTAGAATCTTCCTGTTTCTGCAAATCTGTGTATGAGGATCTTGTAGAGAAGGGTCAGGACTAATCGTGTGTTAGCCCTATGGATCAATAGCAGACAACTTTCACATGGCTTTGCTTTTTAGAGAACTGTAGCCAAGATTTCATCTTAACCTTGAGAACGCCATGAGCCAAACTTCCCCTTTGTCCCAAACGCAGTCCCAGTGACTGCTGTGTAGTCACTGCGGTGCTTTGAGAGACAACGCACGCTCCTTTGAAGCCACAAGGTTTCAGTGAAATGGAAGTATTTGGTGAACAGCAGCACGTCCGTAGAACTGCACGGCACCATAAGTTACAGCGTGTAGACTTCGAAGTTAAATGCTGATGGCAAACTGGTTAGGGCTGCCTACGGAATTCTCAGTTGGCCTGGCTGTTCAGCAGAGCTCACTGGACCAGAACCTGCTGTGCTTCTGGAGTGGGATTTTCAGATTTGCTTTTTTCCCAGTCCATTAGACGGCTTTCAGTTTACTGTGTTCATCAGTTCAATGTGACAATGTGCATCCTGTTACTACAGGCAGCGGTCATAAAAGAAAGAGCCAAGAAAGTCAGTCTGAAGCAGCTGCATTCTTGCGGAATCCTCAAGAAGTTTGGCGAGAGAACTTTCGGCGCAGAGTAAGTGCCAGGCAGTTTTTTATAAAAAGTAAGCTTGTTAACCTAAAACTGAAACTACTCAAGAGGAAAACGTCGGCATACACAGCATATACAATTCAGTTCTATATGCGGAGTTTGAAAACTGCACTCGTGGTACTTCCCAGCATAGCTTTGGCTGTCCAACAGCAGAGAGATCGGTGGGTCAGCCTTCCAACACCAGGCCGACAGCGATTTCTAGGCCTATTTATTTAAATGTAGAATTTAATTCCGATCAGGTTTCTGTGTAAAGCCTGGAAACAAAGGTGAGCCTATGTGTTCCAGGCTGATAGCGAGTACTAGTAAAGACATCAGCCACGAGAGCTACAGAGCAGTGAAAGCACCTTCAGAGCCGGCCCAGGAGATGCGGAGCTACCTGACGGAGCGTCACTCAGAACCAGAGATCCCAGTGTGTGCAATGTACATGTTTGCCAACGCTGTGCCCCGTTCTGATGCCCGCAGCTTTTAGTGGCGGGCACATTACTAATCAGCAAAGTTGCTAGGTTGAACCTTAAAGCAGCCAGAGAGTCAAATTTGGCAGAATCAAGGCTGCTGTCCAAAGTGCGTTTTTAAGACAGACTTTTGCAATTAAGAAGTGGATCGCCTGCCCAAGCACAGAGTACTGCTGTCACTCTGGGGCTAGTCTGATACACTCACCTTGGCTAGGATTGCCTTACTAGGTATAGTCAGCTTTGATTGAAAGGTTTAATTAGAAGACTATATACGCCTGTGCTAAGTAATCTAGAGTTACACACTTGTTTCTTTCTGTTTATTTTAAAGGAGCACTGAGTTACTAGTGCAGGTGTCGATGCCCTTTTTCTAGCCACCAGAAATTAGATGACAAGAATGAATGAATATTTACCTGAAAACAATGCTCATCTACAGCATCAAATTGTTAGCGACTTGCTAGGCTTCTGTTCAATACGGAGCTTTAAAAGAAGTGTATTTTTCCTCTTTTCCACCTAGTAAACTTGCTCAACTGAGCCAGAAATATCCCAAGGCTCCACTCCCAGAAATTCTTAAAATTCTGCATGATGTTAAGGGTGTCTACAAAGAGTGCTGTGAAGGGGACATGGTCGAGTGCATGGATGACAGGGTAAGCTAAGTATTTTTCAAAAATGTTTACATATTTGACAAATGCTTAGGAAGACAACAATTGGTGCAGCTATTCGTTCACAGTCCAGGGAACTCGTACTCACTGCTGGAAGGTTCCCCAACCCCTGAAAAACTCATGGCCAGCTCAGCTGACTGTTACTGGAACGAGGTTTTGGACCGGTTCTGGATCTAGCCCTTCGTGATCATGAGGGCAAGGAGCCGTCACTTAAGAGTCTAGCATGTGTGTTTGGTTGAAATCAAAACATTTATCAGGGAGATTGGTTGATGGTACTTACTCACTTCAAATTAATCACAAACAAAGCAAAAGAAAGCGGAGGCAAAAAGGCCACAATTTTTTTTGCTGTCCTTTTGTGTGTGCTGCCATTAATCCAGCTTTCCTGCAGCGCCAATGAACTCTAGAGAACAGCTTGCATGGGAGGACTAGCAAAACTGCAGAACAGTGACTTGATTTGAAGATTGCCTGTCAGGCAGGCACTTGGATACGCTCTTCAAACCAGCTGGTGTCCAGCACTGGCTTTATGAAGCTTTGGGGTTTTTCATGTTTTGTCCTCTGTCAGAGCTGGGTGCCTGACAGGACTGACAAGAGCAATCAGGCACCCTGGTGGCAGACCACTAAATGACTTTCCTTGGCTGTCCAGTTTGTCTTCTCAACGTTTCTAAGATCAGGGAGGGAACCACATTCTCCCCCGTGCCTGTGAACGTAGCACTCAACATGCACAGGACTTGCCTGTCCCTCTGGCTATTTCTCTTCATATGGAGATAGCACTGCTTTAGGAAAGTGCTAAGTAAATAGGTGACCTGAATTAAGAGAGGAGAGTCTGAAAAAGAGACAGGAGATTAATTAATCTATCTTTAAATTACTGTTCCATAGCTTGTCTGAGAATACCTTTTAATTTTACAGGCAGAGCTTGTGGTCTATGTGTGCTCTAAACAAGATATTCTGTCAAGTAAAATCAAAGAGTGCTGTGAGAAGCCGGTTGTGGAACGAAGCCAGTGCATTATTGAAGCAGATTTTGATGACATACCTGAAGATCTTCCTTCACTAGTTGAAAAATATGTAGAAGATAAGGAAGTATGTAAACACTTTGAGGCAAACCATGACGGATTCCTGACAGAGTAAGTAGTGCCAACAGCACACATGCTTGTATTTGAACACTCCTGCAAATGATCCTCTGTCTTTTCTGGACTATGGCCTTTTGCACCACTGGGAAAACTGTCCTCTTGGGCGTTTCAAGCACATGTGGACAAAAATGATGACCACATGGAAGTCCAGTGTAACTAATGTAGCTTCAACCCTAGCTGAACCCCTAGTTTCTCCTTCATACTTTGTGACTGTTTCCATTCAGCATTGTCCCACTTATCAAAGCTGAATTTATCAGTGCCTTTCTTTTATTCGGGGCTTTGTGCATGCCTACATACATTATCTGCTTAAGAAGTATTCTGTCACAGGGAACTGTTTTGTTCCTGTCACATTTGCTCTGTTGGCAGACAGCAGAATGACGAAAGAATTCTACAAAAACAAGCAAACAGCATTCCAGGCTCATTGTCCACCTTTCTTGATCTCGTCTGAAGAATTGTCATTGTCAGTTACTGTGTTGTGCATGAAGAAAGCAGAACGTTGTTCAGGAGCTCTAATTCTGTCAGCTTGTGTGTCTTTCAGGTTTATTTATGAATACGGACGAAGACACCCCGAGTATTCCACACAGCTGATTCTGAGAGTTACTAAGGGATATGAAGAACTCCTGCAAAAGTGCTGCAAGACAGACAACCCTGCTGAGTGCTACGCACATGCTGTAGGTGCAAAGCTGTGTTTGCGGATAACTAGAACGCTTAGTTGGTACCTATCATGAAACATTTGGGTTGAGAAGCTCCTATGGAAGAGCAGACAGAAAGCATTTTGAGAGACTAATCCCATGGGAAGTTAGTGTTCTGATGGGAGATGAAGCAGTCCAGGGCCTATGATGAGGATACAGAGATTTCTCAGGTCAGGGATTAACTTCATTAGTCTGAAATTTCATAAGGTGACCAGTCTCACTCAGCTGCCTGATGCCTCTGTCTCAGAAGTGATTCTGCTTGTCCTGAAGAAGATTATTAATAGCTGGTTAGCTGAATTTTTCTGTGGGCTCTACTGCCTATACTGAGTATGGCTGCTCATGGATTATAATGGGAACCTGCATGGCCAGCTCACATAGAGATGCCTAAACTTAGGTCTCCTAATCTTCAGCTGAATCACACACAAGTCACAGCACAAGCTGAGTCACTAACAACTTTGGCCAAGGGATAGAAAGATGTTCCCCTCATAGCTGATAATCCTATACTTGAAAAATATTCATCCAATTTAAATAAACAAACAAAACCCCCCCATTGTCTAGAAAGTAAGTCCAATGGGTAATTAATTTAAATTAAATTTCAAAAAATCTTGCTGCCTTTTTAATCGAATTTCTATTAGAACTTAAGACTCACATGAGAATCAAGTCCTCCCCATGCCAGCCAGGCTTTATGGAAGTGATCACCCTTGCAAACTGGGTCTCTTACAGCTAATAAGATTTAGAAGAGGTCAATAGGTGTATTTGTATGACTGTTACCAGATGTCCTGCTCTAACATTACTAATAAATTTATACTTATTTGCAGCAAGACGAATCAAAGAAACATATCAAAGAAACTCAGGATGTTGTAAAGACAAACTGTGAGCTCCTCACTGCCCATGGCGAGGGAGACTTTCTTAAAGGGTAAGTACTTTCTGATAAACATTCTGGAGTGTAACCAATGACACTGGCTGCTTTGGGCAAATTTATTTGGTCTTCACTTCTGTTTTCACTTCAGTTGTCTAGTTCTGTTGAGCACTCATCAAATGTGAGCAGTCATTTTGATATGACTTTTTCAGACTTCTGATCCGCTACACCAAGAAAATGCCTCAAGTATCAACTGACACCTTGCTTGAACTTGGAAAGAAAATGACTACCGTTGGTACGAAGTGCTGCCAGCTTCCTGAAGCGAGACGCCTGCCTTGTTCCGAGGGATACGTGAGTACACGTGTTTATTCTCTCTGTTCCTCTTGGATATTTCTTCTGCACTCAAAAATGTTGCATTCCGGTGAGACAGTGAGCTCATTATGATTTTTCATAAACCCCAAGTTAAGCACCTACCTAAGAGAATTCAAAGTCTGTTTGTTTTTAATAGATTTGAGAACCCAAATAGTTGTCTGATGGTAGCTTATGAAAATTTTAGCTAAACTTTGCTGTCCCTCAGAAAGCAAAAATAAAAGTCCATGGGGTCTGCAGCAGCTTGCATTTGGAAAAGCCAAACAGTCTCTTAAAGAAAAAAAAATACTTACTGATTGTAGCCCAATGGACAGAGTGTTTGCAGATTAAGAAATGCCTGACTCCAGGAATATATATGTATTTTACATTTTAAGACCATGCCATTTCTGAGCAGGTGTTTAGATCCAACAACGTCCACTTCCAGCTATGTTGTTGTGACACAAGCTTCACATATTTCTTGTGCTATCGTTGAAGGTGTAACTCGTGTTTGTCCTTCTTTCCTTCTCTTTTCAGCTGAGCATTGTGATTCAGGATATGTGCAGGAGACAGGAGACCACACCTATAAACGACAACGTCTCACACTGCTGCAGCGACTCCTACGCCTACAGGAGACCGTGTTTCACTGCCATGGGAGTAGATACCAAATATGTGCCTCCACCATTTGACCCCGAGATGTTCAGCTTTGATCAAAAATTGTGCACTGCTTCTCCTGCCGAGCAAGAAATAGGGAACATGAAGTAAGCTAAAAGAAATAATTTGTAGAAAACCTTCTGAAGTGTAACACGTGGGAGGAGGGTCACAGAAGGAAGCGACAAAGCCCCTGCTTTGTCATCTGACTGGGACTTCACTAGAGGCAAAGAGAAAACCAGATGAAACTGTGGGTTTGT